ATTATGAAGAATTTAAATGTATTAATTAGTTATGCCAATTGCTTATTACAAATGATTTTAAAGTAAAGTGGAGCTTCATACTTAAACTAGCCCTTAAAAATTTGCGAAAACGTCGATGTATGATTTATGAATTATTAATTATTAATGATTATTTATTTCTCTTCGGAATGCTGACTTACAAAACAGAAACACCTAATAGAAATATCGGTGATAAGCATATAGTAGGCTTAACACAAGTCATCAGTTTTAAAACGGAATTTATGGCGCGAAATATATGGTAGGAATAGATTTAAATTTTAAAACGTGAAAAACYTGGGATAAAAAAATAGTTGGTACGTGTTAAATATATATTATGTGATCTATGGTGTGCAGTTTACGGTTTCTCGGAAGGTGGCCAACAAAATTATATTAAAGGTTATAATACATGCGGTGGGGGGGAGGGGTTAAAAACATGCCTATAAGACACGAATGAAAAAGATAATTCTTTGACAAGTGTCATTCCAAGAACATACAATACAAGCGACCCATACATTTTTCACGTCAGAACAATATACCGTACAGTTGTAAAGAGTATTATGGTCTCACAGGGGTGGTCATTATAATAATGTTCAGAAAACGTGTGTTAGAAACGTTAAAGAAAATACAAAACCTTTAATGCCGAAAAATAAATAAAATCGATTTATAAAAATAGTATGATAAGAACAAAAATATATATATAAAAGTATAAACAATTCAAATAAAGTGTCTAAATGGGTCGTACCAGTACATGATATATGAACCATGTGCAGACATTTTAAATCGGTTGGGTCAGGCGGATAACCCCCCGGCGAGCGACCGTTAAGTGTAGAAAAATACATTGAAACCTTCTTGAAAAAAATAACGATAAATTGAAGAGACAAAAAAATATTCGAAAACCATATAATATAATACACAGAAGATATTATAAATTTTATGTTAGTGTATTGCCGGACGGGTGCATTGTGTTTTCKGGTAGGCGGCAGTTGATGAGTGTCCGAAGCAGAGGGTGAGAAGGGCYGTGTAAAAGGACGGACCCAACCGACAGGTGGTCGAATACACATGTGAATCGGCTTAAAAGAAAAATACTGCATTCCACAGAAAAAAATAAGTAACTCCAGATTTTTATTTTATACAACCATAAATATATCAACGACTAGGATAGAGTATATTATACGTGTATACATTATAATTGGCATCTAAGGTCGGATTATCTGATACAATAAATATGTAATATTATTATGTTGTGGAATAATGGATGCAAGCTGTATATCGTAAATTCTCTTTAGGATGAGCGGTGGTTCAGGAGGGTGAAGACCTGTCTTTAGAGTTGAGACCCTTATATACCTGTTCACAGCAGGTTTCGCTGTACGACAAGCCCTATTCACCCCGCACGACCATCATCGGTGATCCTCTGACGGACGACACGAATTAAGATATAGAAGACTCAAAACGAAAATAGATAAGTTTCCCTGAAAGTGTGTATTGTGATTATTTTACTGGTGGAATTCACTTTTTGGCTATACAGCTACAACTATTTAAATAAATAATATAATATAWTAGCTCATACGACAGACTGATATCGAAAGCGCTGCAGTGTAGTGCTGCAGTGAAAAACAAACAAAAAACACTGAACTCTTCCACTATACCATAGATAATATTTATATGGATAAAACATTCTTAAAATAAATAAACATATAGTAGCGTTAGTGTTATATACTATTGTGCACTGTTGCTCGTGAAAAATTCCTCCAAAAATATGTTTACGGTTACGAATAATGAACAACGAATTGTAATTGTTTATTACTTATTAATAATTATGCATATATAGTTGTATTTTAAAATTTATTTGTTAAAAAAAGATAAAGTTTTTGCAGCATTTGCCGTTGGAAAATGTACCTTATAATGATTTGATAATTTTGAGGAGCACAAAATCATTGTGCATCGGTCTTCTACGAAATAGTATATACATGTACCCACACATTGACGGATAATATTTCGGAATACAATATATTATCATGTAAGCTGTACCGACAACATGCCATACACTGTATATTATTTCAATTTTATTATTTTAAAGATTAAAAAAAAAATAATTACAGTATATTATTTTTGGTAAGTGTATAAAAAATTTATTAGCACCCTCAATTTAATACAAATATTTATGCACCACTCTAAGAGCCACCACTGATCTACAGTTACCATATATTATAATTATATTTTATTGATGTGTTTTGTGATAAAATACAAATTTAATCAATCCACACTATACCAGATTTTGAATTTAGTTTTTAAATATTATTAATTTTTCATTACCTATCATTGTAATTACCATAAATAATATGATTTGTCATAACATTGTGTTTTAAAGTTAACATCCTATAATTTTATAAGTAGTGATGTTATTAATACCACAACCTAAATTGCATTTAACCGCTTTGTGGTAATTACTAATTAGTATATAATTATATAATATGCTTTTCGATCCCTCTCACAAGAACAATATATGTACTATCCATTTATGTTATTATCTATGCTCTTTAAACATTTTGAGATTTAAAACATCCCGCACGCCTGCCAATTATGTCGTGATGACGAGTCCTCTGTATGAATGTATGATATATTGATATCTTAGGTAGTTTTTTGGCGTGTCGAATCATCACCGTCGACCCGACGAATTCCTCCTTGCCGCCGCCATAGTGACGGACGCCGAACTGCCGAACTGTGACAACTGCAATCCGTTGGCCATCTGCGTCGACGTCGTGGTGTTGCTGTGCGTCCGAGTGCTGGCGTTAACRGTGGTGCCGAAGTTGTTAGGGTGGCACGATGACGAGAAGCTCGGGTACCGGTGCGGCTCGCGGACACCGAAAGCCTGGACGAAGCGCTCGCGGGCTGGTTCGGGCACTCGTGCCAGAAGCAGGTTGAGCACCGAACGCTTCCAGCAGAATATGAAAAACACGAATACGCCGCGGAGTGAGTTGATCGCATCCGTCGCGTACCAGTAGTAAGCAGGTGCCTCGACTGCCCACGAGATTACTTCGAAAACGAAAGTAACGCCCATCAGGCAGAACAACTTTAAGTACAGCGACAACCTGTGAACACGACAAATATGAACATAGTACGACTGTACAGGATACTCGCTTAAGGCGGATGGGGCTTAGGGAGATAGCATTTCTTGGGGTGAAAAAGTTCACYYTGGGACCAACTGACAGTGACCAATATACGAGTGGAAGACGTTATAGATAAATTATTTTCCATCATATAGGTGTGATAAAATGTATAAATATATTATGCACAGTTAAAGAAGCTTGTAAAATAATACTGTATATATAGTCTTTTTAATAAAACTACTAACTATAAATATTGAGAATAATATYATTATTGTTCGTTAATTATAGGTACGCACTGAGCTATTCCAGAGTAAAATTAAATCACAAATATATTTTAGAGATTGGGCCATCACTAATCAACTTTGCAATGCGTAGTATGGCAAGTTAGGTCAGCGTCCAGCAACTTATACTTTTCACCCAACCGATCACCAMACCACACACGCATAAACGTCATAATGACATATTATACAATTTCTATTTGGAGTGCGAAAACGAGAAATCATTTTTTCTGTTCCTATTTTMCTATTCTAGTAATTTTGTCTGACCACTGATTTATTATATTCACCTCTCCGCAAGACACACTAAAATACATAAAGTTATTATTGTTCTATTTTTATATTAATTTTTACCAGAAAGGATGTWTAGTATTATTTATCTAACATTTAATATTAAATAATAATATAGTTACTTATTATTAATAAGTATAATAATAATAAGTTATTATTTTACAATAATAAAAACCGTTATGTAACCAAAGCTATGTTAATTTTAATATTTCTATAGCTATTATATTATTATACTAGACCTAATAGCTGAATATGTAAATAATTATAATTATAATTTTTTCTATAAAGTCATAAGAGCTTCAGTTCTATACTATATATTTGTTAGACCAAGTTTAATCRTATTTAATAATATTATACATTAACATATGTACCATTTAGCTTTTGTATTTTTTTTTATATTTTTGTGTTGCTATGGATTATATTATTTATTGATATTTAGAGCCTGGTTGTTGATGAGTTGATGATCTTAGCGTCATTTTTATAACATCATCAATAATGATTTTCTAGCTTAAAATGCTATTTAATAATAAATCATTAATTAGAATAGTAAACGATGGGAACTATAATTTTACATTTCTCACCTTTTTTTTTGTGAGACGATTGAGAGAAAAATTACCTACGTTTATTATCATGTTTTTATATTTGCTTAACTCTTAAAAAAGCGCAGTTATAAATATTACGATTAAAATTAATCAATTAAAACCAGTTTTAAGGTTCAAATTTAAATTAGAATCACGTATCAACATACATTTCAAAATCATAAAGTACAGTGTAGGTATTAACTTTATAAAATATTATAAAAACATTTATTTTTCAACAACCCAAGGACATCGTATGTATATTTTATTATAAAATTGTGTCACTGATTAATCATTAACATTTAAAAAATATTAGTAAATAAAATAATAACAATGAAATACATTGTATTTATAAAACAATCATAAAATATCGTGCTGATGTTAATTTGTAATAATTTTTAAAATCAAAATTCAATATAGCATGAATGTTTTGTACTTCTATTTCACTGCGAGTAAAACTATTATAAAAAGTAAAGCTCAATTAGTTAGTATTATGTTTTCGACTCGTATTGAAAAATTTAAATACTTAAAACACTAATAATTATACGGGTTTACACTGCAAAATAAGTTCTGGTATGAAAATAAATAATATTAGCTAGAAATCTTTAAGTTCGTGATTTATAAAACGTCAATTATTTTATGTAAGTTAWAGGAACACTATTTTCGAATATTTTAAAGCACAGTGTACTATTAGTAAGTTCATGGAGTAAGGAAACATTTTGAAAAAACATGTTAGACAGCAAATTAGTTCTAGCACATGGATCTAGCTCAATATTATTTGATGCTCTTAGCTCACAAGGAAAACGTCATATCCGCATGAGTGCTCTCTGTATTAGTCACAATGCGCATAACATGGCAAATTTCACATTCATTCATTACTTTATTATTTTGAACATCGTATTAATTTGATTCATTATGAATTAATAAAATTTAAATATAAGAATATTATTTAGAGGTCACGTAAACTTTTTTTTAAATTTAAGTTTAATAATAACATGTTTTTATTTTAATAATATAAATATAAATATATGCTTTTTATTTTCAATTTTTTTTCACCATGGCGTTTTTTCTTGGTTTTTTGTCTATCCTACAAATGAGTGTATGAATTAAAAAAAAACGAAACCACAGTAGACTATATAAAATCGGTTTGAAATCGTTTTTACATAAATTACGATAACCTATCAAATCTGTAACCCCTATAATAACGAACTCTTGTTATTGTAAATGGTTTTTTAGTGTATTGTGTTATTGTGTTAATGTGTCTTTTGATTGCCCATGCCAGAATAAATAAAAATGTATAGGTAGGTGGGACATACTTGTATGGCGGCAGACTGTCGGCGACCCACAATGCCAAGGGTAGGTTTTTTGTTTTGTTATACAGGTATACGCGTTTTAATCATAAATCTTTTCGCACTGGTACTTAAAGACAGAATTTTGAAACGGACCCTCTTTTGTGTATGTRTGTCTGTGTATGTCTATAGATCTCAATGTTAGATATTATCCCATTTAGAGAATGATTATTATATATTTGTTTTAAGTTATTTTTTTGTTTAATTTATTTRACATACTGTTAAGTGTTTCTTATTTATTTTAATTTCTAAACATAAATTTAGAACACCTTATGTTTTCGTTATGTCAGCYCGTTAGTCAGTTTTACTAGTGCTTAGTTAAAAATGTTKATATTATATTTATTTATTATTGTCCATAGTAACTGTAGGTACATTGTTAGGATTGTTTATATTTTTTAATATAGATTCATACTATCCAATATATGCTACCTAATTATATAAGTTACCAGTTTCTTTTTAAATCATTATCCTTGGAATTATAGTTTATTGTTTTGTAATAAAATACGCTTGAAATTTTGGGGCACACACTAGTTGACTGACTCTCGAAGTCAAAAACTCGTAATACAATAATGAACTATCTGATCATTAGAGGCAACTAGTATATATTATTATTGACCATTTTTTTTACGATAATACTGGGAGGCAATTCGTATATTTTGGTATGCAATTTGTATGCACCGATATTATGATTGGACGTCCTCTTAAACAACAACATTTAATACAATTAACAGTTAAAATTGTAAATAATAGATCACTCGAAGGGGTATTTGGAACAACTTTGTGAAAAAAACGTTAATTTATATAAATGGCACGCTAAAAATCTAAAACATTTAAATACTATACACCTTCCTTTCCTTTCCACTCAAAGATAAAAAAAAAAACAATGAACTAACATAGTGACACCCATGAAAATTATATACTATATACCGCATGTTTAATGGTCAAAATGACTATTTTCCTCTGAACTTGATATGTGTAACTACTTTTATCCTCCACTCTCCACTACACCACATCAAGCAGCATKATATTAGTACATACTGTTAAATATATCCAGGGGAAAGGGAGGTAAAGGAGCCATTAAGTATAAAGGACAGTTATCCGATGGCGGGACGACAACAAACAAGTAAAAGAGGTATTGTTATTTTCAGGCGTGTATATTATTTTCTATTTAAGAAAATTATAAATTAAATAGGTACTAAGCCATAATGGAAGAATTGAAATGTTTTTTTTTTGAAATTATTTTGTTCATTTGATATAGATAACCTTATTTTATTTTTTTTGTACGTCAAAATACACATGAGACCTTTTTTGAACACGTTTATAATATGTTTTTTTTCGTGTATTATGTTAGTTCTTAGAACTGTCTGTGACTAAATATATTTTAACGTATAGATGGGTCAAAGATACAAGTGGCGACACTCGGACGGACGCCACGTCTCGGTATGACAAGGGTCAATAATATATTGTTATAGAGGTTGAAAGCGTTATAAAACTGGTCCCAATGTATCCCGTCCTTGGAATAATATTATATTGCTAAGAGGGGAATTTCCTTAATGTATTATTATATAGGCATTATAATATATAGTTGTAGAGCCTATTCATTCTCCAATTCGTATATTTTCTCGGGTTTATATTTAATAATCGCATTCCAGGAACCTGACCTTCGGCATTAATACACATAATAGTTATGTATATAATATGTATACGGTGTGCGAACCCTCCTATATTTTACCAAACACATTGTTACGAACATCAGACACCCTGTGGACGACYGCACACGTTAGTGTACAGCATTTAAGCTGATTTAAACTTTTTATAGAAATATCACTGGATCTGACAAATTAAAACTGATACAACTAAAACTCTAAATGTATAATAAGGTACTATATATTAATATATCATAAATCTAATACAGTGGTTTTCAAACTGGGTGCCGAGGCACACCAGTGTGCCGCGGATTTTCCATAAATTACCTATTGCATTGAATAGCGATATAAGAAAATATGTAAATGCTTTCAATAATAATATCTATAAAAGCATTGACTATTATTTTGACGTCCTCAACCTCATATCTTTGTGAACAAGGGTTTTCAGCACTTGAGAATATAAAAATTAAAAACGAGAAAAATTAAATTCAGTGAAGGAAGAAATGCGGGTATATGTCTGTCAACTATTCGTCCAAGAATTGAAAATATTTTGTGCCAACAGGCACACACTTCTCATTAAATGTACCTATGTATAAACTACACTTTTTTTCGTAAATAAATTTCATAACTAATWACTAATWCAATGTAATTATAATTAATAAATATTTGTTAGTCCATCAATCACATATTTCTAATTAAATGTATATAAAATTGTAATTAATATAAAACAATTTTGTTCTTCTAAATAAAGGTTAGTGTGCAGAAATTTTTTTTTGAAATGTATGGTGTGCCGTGTATAATAAAAGTTTAAAAACCACTGGTCTAATACGTGACCAAAATAATACGAAATGTACATGTATTTTTATTTAGATATCCTTAGTTCCACTGCACCAAGCATTGATAATTTTCAATATAAAACATAATACATTTTTAAACTTATTTACCTCATATCATTGTGGTTATTTTGACGATTCAATACTTTTGACGTACCCCTTCGGATGAACAGAATTCTAAAAGCAGTGAACAAGAACAGTATAAAATTGGTCGACAGAAGTAACCCAATTGGTAAATAAAAGAAAACACCGACTGATAATTTATCTGTAAGCAAAAATCAATAATTAAAAATAAAATCTATCAATAAACACGTGATTAACAATGCTGAACAAAAGCAGTGTATGTCTATTTATATTGAGTTATAGTTTCTATCTCGTACCTGCCAAATCGTATTTTRCTAAATACTTCTTATTTTTAAAGGTACTAAATAGTGTTATACTTTTACGTACTAGAAAACCAGCAGTCGTTATTGCCAAAATTTGGCTTATAACTACTATCGCCAAATAATTTGGTGAATTCAGCTATAGCTGTTAAAACTGTAATTCCAATGCTACAACCCCACGCATAAGTTGAATAAATTATATATTTTTTCTTCTCATTTTCAATTTTGTTTGAGGACAAAAGTAATCTGAATCCACTGTAATAAAACGCACATTTATGTATAATTTATTGATAATGCTATTTACATTTTCCTATAAACAATAAAAATGTTACTAACCTAAATGTCCATGCAATATCCGCACACATAACATTTAGCCAGAAAAATGCTGCAAGGAATGAAAATTGTATGACAAAACCTAAAAAAAAAAAATAAAGCAAYTTTACGAAAGATTAATATAGTATATTCAACAAAATTACTATTCATAATATTGTATCAGCTCAATTATTTCATAAGAAAAACGATAAATTAGTGCCTAGTATATACTTATTGTTTAGTTTTAACTATAGCCATTAGAGAACTATTTTTTCATTTGCGGATAGATGTTGCTTTTAAAATGTGTTGATACTATTATAATAAATAATCTTATCTAACTTCTAAATATTCTAGTGATATGCGTATTAATGCATACTGCTTATATTTAAGTATAATATTTAAATTTAAGAAAATCAAATATAAACGTTAGAKGATTAGAAATTTGATAAACCTATTTAAATATACAATTATTGTAATTATTATTATAACTATCACATCATTATTTTTAGATAAAATAGAAGACACGTGTATCAATTATTTGATCCGTCATAGGTACATGATTTAAATGTAAATCAATAAATTATAATAAACGTTTAAATAATGCCTATATTAAATACTAATTATTACTATAACCAACGGACATAAAATAAAAAATGAACAAATAAATATAGTTATATTTTTTTATTTATTTACAATAGTTCTAAAAAAGTGGATATTTGGAGGTTAGGTTAAATTAGGTTAGGCTAACCTAATCCTRTGTATACCTATGTTATTATTAAATAACAGTAAATTCAAATTTAATTAAATCACTTATAATGAATTGCATAAAAATGTGTTAATTATATAGTTTGCTAAAATGAGTAAAATGTTATATAGACCAATTATGGATCATTAGATCATATGTTTAAACCATTTAAGGGATGCATAGTTCACTATTGATAATATTATTCAGATAAATAAGACAAATAAACGACCTAGCTCAAATATATAAAAAAGTGGCAAGTAAGTGGATGTCGTTCTTCTGTACAGTAGGTTACAAGTGGGYTACTGTAATCATTACAGTGTAATGGATGGAATTAAATTTGAATCCGATGATATTATATCATTGTATACGAAAAACGATTCTGAGCGAATATATAGAATATATTATAGATTATTAA